ATATATATATATATATATATAAAATTAGGCAACATTTCAAATGTTGCCAAAAAATAATTTTATTATTATAATGGATGTTAAGTAATATATTAACTCATTTTTTTAATGCAAAATTGTACTCCTAATATTCTAGAGTGCATAAAAAATTCTTACAAAAATCGGTAATCGAAGTTAATATAAATCTATTTAGATAAAAATTTTCATAATAATATAATGCACTTTAGTTTCTATAGAAGTTTTTTTTATTTAACTTTTTAAAAGTTAATTTAAACTTGTGAATAAGATGACTTTATTTGTTTTTTAAAAGAAAAACTCATTTTAACTTTTTTATTCTTTTATAAAGATAGAGACAAGTACAACTCGGAATGGATCATATTAAGGAAGGCTAGATTTAGAAAAACCAAAAACATTTCAGTAATCTCTTCAACTCAAAAGAAAAGATTTTGTTTAGAGAAACAAAAACTCATTTCAGGAATCTCTTCGACTCAGAAATTTGTCTACTATCTATTCATTAAAGCCACAGGGAACGACATCTTCACGGATTGAATAAAATCACCATACACATCCATGCATTGAAACAAGGAGGAAAAAAAATGCTTATACACTAATGGGTTACACGTAATAAGCCAATTAAAGGGACTTCTTGCAAACTTTATAAGAATTTTTTCATTAAAGTATCATGCATGTTTCTCAGGAGTCAGGATTATTTACTATTAGGGAAAGAGGGAAAGAAGAGGAAGCAGGGGAAGGGATGAAAATTAATTGATTAGCCAACTGGTACTTAGTTCAAAGAACATGTTTGTTTTTTCTTTGGCAAAGTCTTCGATTGGAGTCTTGTCTAGAGAAAAATGAAATGTTCACCGATCATTTTCTTAAACCATTGATACAAGCTGATTATCATGTGGGAAATTACTGGAACTAGAGAAAAACTAGATAAATAACAACACACAAATTAACTGCTAATGAAGTTCACACTACATTTACACAAAAGGAGGTACAAAATAAAAGTGTTCACACAATGAAGCATAGAAGAAAGACCAAAGTGCTCAATAGTAGTTGATGAGCACAAGCATGAAAGCCAAGAACAAAAGCTTCACAGAAGCAACAGTAGCATGCACAGAAGTTGAAGCAGTGAAACTTCCCGTGGTAGTGTTGGTGGTGAGAACAAGAACCATCCAATCATCCTCAGAACCAAGCCCTGCCCCAGTGTACTTTGAGTTGTTGAGAAACTGTGCATATTGATCAGAGTGAGTGTAATTTGAAAGCACAATGGTTGGTTCCAATTTGGAGACACAAACGGGGAGAATGACCCCATCAGTGGTGGTGTTAATGTTGATGTCACATTTGTCTATATGCTTCTGCAAGTTTGGGATCTTGAGGTTCCCACCAGGAACAGATGAAGGGTAGAATTGATTAACATTTTGACAGGGCATGTCCTCTATTTCATCTGCAACTTCATCAGCCAAACAAGTTGCCTTGGGAACTCGATTCAGGGGTGGCAGGTTCTTTGTCTGTCTGTAGCTATTGATTCCCTTAAATACACTGTCCTCCTTATCTAATCAAACCAAACCATGTACATTGTGATACTTACATTATATTAATAAGGGATGATGGTGCTTGTAAAATTGACAAAAAATAAATAAATTTATTTTACCTTTATTCCCTCCTTTATCCAAAGAGATGTGCTATTCATATAACAATTTATAGAACATAATTTTCTATTAAATACATGTTGTATAGAAATTAACCAACTCGTGTAGTTGTGGCCCACCTAATAATTTTTCCTATCTCCTCTCATCATAACATTTATTACATCTCAAACTAGGGGTGTGGGAAAAAAATCCAAACTCATCCTAATCAACCCAAAATCAATTCATCCAAATTTGGACCCAAAACCAATTCATCCAAATTATAAAATCTAATCTGTTGTACCCACTTTGCAAAAACATTTTACATAGTGAATAGGTTTCAATCGATTTTTTGATAAACCAAACCAATTCACTATATTAAAAAATGGTTCAGTTAAGTAATCCATTAAATGGGTGGATTTAGTTTGGATTTTTCAAAAATCTAAACTATGAACAACCCTATTACAAACTTCTCTTCTTTTTTTTTTTTTTTTTTGTCGTACAAATAACAATTTTCTCATCGAAATACCTAAACTTTTGTCAATGATGCGTCTATCTAACAAGACAAGCAAAATTGGTGTGTTGCATGCATGACTAGAATGCCGGTTAGACAGAATCACCAAATAATTGAACAGTAAACTTAACAAAACTAGAATGAAAGAGGAAAGTCTTGGTATTTAGAAAATGAAGGATGAAAAGTACAAGTTTTAAAAGTTAGATGCAAAAACTATGACAGTTTTACAAGAACAAATAACATCATTAACCCTACTGATAATTAACAGAAAACTAGTACAAAAGCCCAAAACAATTAATTGCACCTGTGATACAATCAAACAACAAAGTCATGGGACTATATACATTATGTAATGAGATTCATGATCGAAGAGTTTCATTAAGCAAGTCACAAGTTTATACAGTATGACAGGATTATAACAAAGAAAAACATAATTAATTTATGGTAATCACTAATCAGGACCCTAAGGTATAATGCAGTTTGATTAAATTTTTCATGCATAACTAATTAAGATAGTTCAAGTAACTGAAACAATTTTATTTGAAGAGGTGCAGAATATGAAAATAATAATGAAGCAAATGAGAGAAGGAGATGTGAAAGAAAGTACCATTACTCAGCACTGGATTTGAAAATAATATGAAAGCAAAGACAAGTGCAAGAAGGAGACCAAGTTTGAATGCGCCCATGGTGATTTTGAGTCCCAAAGGAAAACACCTATTGATGAATTAAAGTGTGGTAAAGAGGTGGAGTAGCAAAGATTAGTACATAAAGTACCAACAGGTTTCGAGTACTTGGTCTTCCACGTGGCTGACATGCAAGAAGGTAACAAATTAAAGTTAATCCTTTGCAACTAAATTTGTTTGTTCTTCTTACTTAACTAGATCGAGTGTAAGTTGATGAATTTAATTATGGTGTATTTGTAGTGTAATGTAACCATACTATACTTTACTTTTTCATCCAATTATAAATTGATATATATGATATGATTTTTTTTTTTTTGAATAATCACTTTAAAAATGATTTGCAGCGAAAATTTAAATTTTTTTGACTGCACTAAAATTTTAATTAGTTATATGAACATTAACTGCAAACTAATATTAACTAATACAATATAACTAAATCAAACTTTTTTTTTTATGTACAATATTTTATATAACATCAATTTTTGTATTTATTTCTTTGTTATATTATTTATTATATTTATTAGTGATAAAGAAAAAAACATATAAAAGAATATTATTATAAAATTGTTTTATGAGTTATTTTATGCGTATCTGCTCTGTGAACAATGGAGCCTTCTAGTTTTATTTTATATATATATATATATATATATATATATACGATTACACGTCAATCTTAACGTGTTCGATTCGGTTTCTGACTTTTGTCCATATTCTAATATTCTATCCTACTCCACCCTGTGATATAAGATATGCCTATGTCAACAAAAAAAAAATGTACTAAAATTCAATTTTTTTATTAGAAAATATTTTTAACAGTATTTTAAACATAATTGATATTCACAAGAAAGGAAAGAAAACTATCCCACTAAAGGCTACTCCACTATCCGAAATATCCTAAATAACATGCAAAATGATGGATTAATTAGTTAATTTAATTATATATATATATATATATATATATATATATATATATATATTATATATATTTAATAACACATATTTTACATTAGATTTCAATAATCTAATTATTGATATAAAATATAAATTATTGAGTAAATTAAATTTAAATAAATTTTTTTACTGGAATAACTAAATCTTTATATATATATATATATGTGTGTGTAAAACACAATATTAAAAGCATTTATTATAAAGCATAATATTATTTTTTTTAGAAATATTATAACTATAAATAAATAAAATTTTAATATTTAAAATTTTTTTATAACTTAATGATAAGAAAAATAAATATTTTCAAAAAAAATACATATTCCTTTTATTTCACGAAAATACAAATTAAATAAATAATAAATGTATCATTTTCCTAAAAGTCAACATTTGATGAAAGTGATTAATTAGTTAGTAAAAATATCTAATGATTTAATATCCCAAGAAACATCTTCTTTCTACCATGAAAGAAACAGGAAAGAAACCTCCTTAAATCTCAACAACTATCTTTGAAGCTTGTAAATTCTAGAAATACATGTACAATATATATATATATATACACGGAGAGAGAGAAGAGAAGTGTTGCAACTTAACAATTTCAATTTGCTCTTTTAAGTTCCTTAAGTTTTAATCCTTAATTACCAAACTTGTACATATTGTAAATCTCTATAATTAAATCTAAAGTTTTTGTGTACGTTCACAAGACGGTAAAATTCAATAAATTATGTTCTTAATCAAATTTTTGTGTGATTTTAGTAGGAAGCTTGAAAATTTTTTGTTTAAAAGAGTATTTGGAGTGATTAATTACTTAGAGAGGTAAATGAAATATTATTTAGATTTCAAAAAATATTTATAACTTTTTTATAAATTATAATAAAACAATAATTGATATATCAAGTACAAGAAGAAGTTTTTCAAGGCAAAACAAACCAACAAAAATTTCTTGTATGATTTCTTGTTTCTCTTATCTCACGCATATGCTTGCTTTATATTCAAATCTTCTTTGTTAAATATTTTAAAAAGTTTTTTTTATGAGAGATAATTTTTTCAGTTTCTTAATTTATAAGTTCATATAAATACTTCAAGTAAAAAATAAATAAATAAATAAAACAAACTTCTTATAAACTGAAATTAATTTATAGAAATTATTTTACATTAACTTTAAAAAAAAACTTTTTAATTTATGTATACACTAGTTTTAATTTATGAATATTGTTTTATTTTTATTTTTATTTTTATTTTAAATATTTATAAAAAAAGTTTATCTAAATATACCCTATAAAATCATTTCAAATTTAACTCATCTAAAAGAGATTCCACTCTAAAAAAAAAATATAATAATAATTATTGATTAAAAAATTAATAATAAATATTATAATTAGCACAAGTTGTTGACTAATGACTTTGTTATTTCCGTTTTATTGTTGGTTTTTCCTTTGAATTTTCCAATTGGTTCTCTCTCATTCTCACGTGAATTCTGAAATCAAGAGTTGAAATTTGTGTTAAATTGATTTAGAGGGCAAGGTATTAAACTACCACGGTTAACGTGCCAAACACTACATTTAAGGAGACATTATTTTTTATACATTATTGTTCATCAAGAATCACGACTTATATTCACGATCAATTATGAACAATAATTTGTGTTTTAATTTAAAATTTCTACAATAATAAAATTAGATAATCTAATATGTGTAATAATATTGCCCTTAGAATGTATTTATGCAATACGTAAATCTTCTATGATATAACAAGTTATTTTCAATAATAATTGGATAGCAGAATTAAATATTTAAATGAGCATAAAATTTATTAAGTTATAAAAAAAGTTACCCAAAAAATTATTTCAAAATATTTTATATGTTATATTTATAATAGAAAAAATATTTTTCAAAATCAGCTAAAATCAAGTCAACCAATCTATATGATATGATGAAAGAAACTAACGTCTAAGAAATAAGAGAAATTCAGTTAACAAGACTAAAATGAATAAAATATTTATTTAATAAAAGTTAAATAATAAATATTTTAATTTTTTTAAAATATCTCAAAATATAAAATAAAATTTTCTTCTAATCTTAATTATATAATTGAGTTTATCTCATGAGATTAAATATATATTTAATATTTTACAAATATAAAACATATTTATTAATATCCACCGTTAAAAAAAATGAAGAATTAAAAAGAAAATATTTTTGGGGGAATTATATTTACCCTTTTGAGAATAACCTTCCAAATAAAAAAAATGCAACCCAAGGAAAGATAGTATGATAGTTATATCCCAAAATGTGGTAACATGTTTAGATGTTCTATATTAACAAGAAAGCCACCCAAACCCAATAAATGATAGCCATGTCCTAATAAACTACGTAATTGACAAGAAGGCCACCCTCACTATTCCATCGAAATCACTCACTCACCTACATTACACATCCCTAACACTGTGTCCAACAAGGTAACACTATAAAGCATCTCAATGTGCATGGCTTCCTTTCTATTATCAAAATCCATTCCACCTTTGGACAAACTAAAACCACACTTATTTTTCAGCCATATATCTTTGTCATTCCCAACTGTTTAAGCTCGTTTACAAGTATGGCTTCCAGTTTCGGTGAATACACCTTCCCCCCTCAAAATAAGCAATACACACAGCCTGGCAAAGAATATCTCATGAATCCACCACCCCAATACAGCAACCCCCAATACAAACCATCAAATAAACTTCAAGTATGTTTTCAAACATCTCACTTTAACAATTTACTATCTTTTTATTATTATTATTACTTTAAAGAGAAGCACAAGTGTGTCTTTTCCTTTTAAAATATGCAATAGAAAAATGTTATTTGTATAACAATTATTTTTTGTATTAATCTATTTTCATCACGTAATTATTACATTCCTTAAATTTAATCGACTGTATTATATTTTTTGTAGGGA